TTGTGACTAACTTATTTGAAGTCCAGAATTAATATTTCCAGACCAACTGTAGCATTGACAAAATAAAGTTATTGATGCCTCTTTTATGCTTAATCAGAAATTCAGCCTCAGTTTAGCTCTTTCTTGTTGCCACAATGGTTTCGATATGATGAAAGTTTAGTTTCAGTTAGAGATGTGGGTAATTTTATGTTGCGGGGTTGTACCAGAAGGAACTGTTTACAGATTGTGCTAACTCATTTTATTTAATGTCACCAGAGCTAGAAAAGAAATTACATTTTCCTCCCATCAGCCTGCATTCAAACAATGCCCTGGAGCTGACACTTGGTATATTTGGATAAATATCATCTTGATTGTATTAATTTCTCTGCAAGATTCCCTAGGGCACAACAGCAACAATAAAGTCCAAAAATAAAATCGTGCAGGTGTTAGAAATCTGAAATTAAAAATGAACAATAAGTGCGGGAGAAACCCAACAGATCTAATAGCATCAGCGGAGAGGATAAAAGCAAATTTCAATGCATCAAAGCAACTAATTATCATTAATTGTTCTTTGCTAAGGAACGTTGCAATACACTTTCAGAATATAACCAGAAATCTGAACTTCAGCTACCCTTTTCAGAGAGTACAGCTACATGTCAAGAATGGTGCTTCAGCAGAACATTACAAATTTTGAATCAGAAGATAATTTTCCAAGGCATGGAGTTTTTGTGAGACAAATGAAAATTATTTCTACCAAAGAGAAGCTTCAGAGAGCACAGAGAGAAGTTTCATTCTCAATTGTGTGGAGGAGCAAAAGGATTTGTGACTAGAAATATTCTAAATATGGAGACACCACCTCTCCATGGCCCATCTGTCCACTTTTAACTTAGGAAAGATCATCAAAATTGAAGCACTGCCACTGTTAAGGAATCAAAATGGAAGATATTTGTGAAATCACACTGACATTAGTGGAAACTTTGTTCAGCTTTATAAGCACATGGGTACAGTTGAAATCACACCAGTCATCAATATGCATGCCAATTAAGACAGTGAGGGAGGTAAAGCAAATATTCATAGATGCTAAAATCACAATGAAAAAAGTTATTATCCTTGGCATATATTTGGCATTGGACAATTTTTCCCAGTATTATTTCGTAAATATACAAAATGTATATAGATTGAATCTTAACCTAGTTTGAGGGCCAATATCTTCAATCATTTAGCAAACATAGATTTGTCACTATTCTTTACACTTGGAACCAGAGGGAGTAACATACTATTTTGGCAGCAGGACAAAATGGGTAAAAGAAGACTATCTATCTGTAATGCATACAATTTTCCACTCCATTTAAGTCATAAAGTCACTTGTTCCCTTGGCCTTACTGAGATACATTAACACTTATTTACTGGTGTTTTCAGCTGGACTGCTGCCAAGTACTGTTCTGAAGTGGCAATTGAGACCTATCTTCATTATAGTGTCTTTACTTGGCTGTTGAAAGTACCTTCGATTTGAGTCAAATAATTGAATTGGAATAATGAAGTCTTGAGGCAAAAAAAAAACACAAAATGAAGCTGATAACCTGACGTAGAGGCAGAGATGGATTATGTTGTAAAGATGGAATGAGGCAATTTTGGTGATGGAAAGAATATTGCTGGGGTGTATGTGAAAGAACTTCAAGTCAATGTCAATTAGAAATGTCAAGAATGTGCACAGTCTGGCTCAGCCTGAGATGGTTGGCATTGGAATCAGTGGCAAACAGTTTAGAACGGCAACTGAAAATAATGGCTTCAGTCTTCCCAATATTCAACACTGATGTGATCTGCATTAGAACACGGCTGTCACTGGATAGGGCATGAAATTAACAGCAAGAGTGCAAAATCTGTGGTGGGGTCAAAACTCTTGCACATACATAGCATTGCCACTTATGTCTGACAAGGTTCTGGAACAGACACAGCACTGAGGAAATTGCTGGCCGGTGACTTTCATCCTTTCAGTTTTGAACAGGATGTAGTCCACCATGAAACTTGAGGACTTATGATAAATTATGCATCCCAGTTATTTTTAAAATTTGGTCATTTCATCTTGATGTTCTTACTGTTCTCATATTGGTCACTGCTTAAATGCTGTCTTAATGCAAGCATTTCAAGTGCAGCCAAAACAATGAAAGCATGCGTATTGGCTTTGCATGGTGCAATATGGACATTGTACAATCTTAACTTCAAAAGATAGACATTTTGCTCAGTGGCCAGCCCAATGTGTGGAACATTATTGGATTGGTTTTAGGCACCAAGTGACTGGAAGCACTGTTTAAGATGTCACAGCAGTACAGGTGGTCACTTCATAAGGATCAGTGTTCAGAATGAATTTTCAAGAGATTTTTGTATTTGGAGGTTGCATATATTTTGGCGTATTCACCTTAATTCATATCTCATAGCTCATTAATTTGTCATTGTTGTATAATTACTTTGGCAGAGATGGATAATAGCAGCAACATCACCAATAAGGCGGAACAGCAACTGGGCCTGTTGGAAGACATCTGATCAGGGAGCTGTTGGTAGAATATTTTATCCTAACACAGGGTGTCTAGAACAAGACATTTATTCCTCTCTATAATGCAACAGAAATACATCCAGAAGCTGAGATTTACCAGGCAGCTGATTGTTGATCGATGCAGTAATCTGCTGGCTCAGATAGTCTTGCTTTGTTGGTCATTGTCATGGTCAGGATCACCTTTAAACATTTTGCCTCAGATTCCTTCCAAGCTATTAGAGAGGACATCACCCGACATCAAGCAGGAAGCTAACACCCCATTTGCCAAAAGCAAGCAGTACATTGTCTTTCCCACTGTTGCTAACAACCAAAATGAGGGAGTTCTAGAATTGTAGCTATGCCTTGCTTCCATTGTACAAAAGGGTTATGGACTGCAGTCATGTAGCTATCAAGAAACCAGAAGACTAGCACCAACATTTGCTAATGAAAGGGGAGACCACTCAATGAACAGCTGGCATGTGACGTGAGACAGGAGAAGCCTTTCCACAGCTAATATATTCAATCATTTCTTAACATGACGTAGGGGTGAATAAAATTGGCCTGATAATGGCATCTGTGACAGTAGGGACATCACAAGGAGGCTGATTAAGATTGCCACTCTGCATTGCTGACTGAAAATGCCTGTCATTTAGTATGAGATTGTTTCTTGGCCTGCCAACAGCAGAATGATGTCCACATCAGTTACTTAGATTACTACATTCTGAATTTATTAACATGTCTGCCACTTTGCCCAGGGATCCCTCAACTGGTCAAGTGCAAATTTGAAAATGAAAATTCTACAAGAACCAGCCATAAATAAAAAAAAATTGCAGTAACCATCCCCTCTTATTTATGCATCAATACCCTTTACAGAAACAAACTTCTTGATTGTTTCATATTGCTAGTTTCCAGAGTTCCTCTGCTTATCTAATAATCATTGCTGAGTTTGTGTCTTTATGCAGTAAGCTTGTTACTATAGTAACAGGAGACTTCTAATGCTATTGGTTAAACAAAACCATAATCTTCACCCTGTATGGTTTCAAACTGAAGCCAATTTCTTAATACTCTGCTTTTTTTTTAACAATCTCCTTTCTTCAGAGAAACAATTCTGGATGTTTCAGATAATTTTTGAGACTCCTTTTCACAAGTAGCACTCAGTCTTTTGGGTGCAAAAGTTCAGGAAAAGAGACGGTGATGTAGACCACCATTTTTTACATTGCTCCAGGGGTTTTAGGCTTTTCAGGAGGAATCGGTGAATGGAGCAAGTGTAGTCTGTGCTTACAGATGATCAAGATTGGACGGAACTGTCTAAAAGTAATGATACAGGCTATCCAAGGTCTTCCATATCATACTTCATGTTGAGTATAAAAATTAAGGCATATGAATCCCAAATTGGATCAGCTGAGTATGCCTGTTTGGAACTTAAAATACAGACAGCAACTTTATCTGCTGACCCAATCGGAAGTCAGAAGGTCCTACTTTTGGCTTGGAGATACAGTTGGTTGTCTTGGAGTCATTTTGGTTGGCTGGTTCTACCTACTTCCAGACATACACTCATTATGTCACCTCAGTCTATACTAAACTCTGCAGGCTTTAGTTGTTAGTGTTGACCTGAAAATCAGCCACTGACAAAACAGGGTTTCATTAACAATGAACATAGTCAATTGCGGGCAGCAGATCATGTTTTCCTTTTGTAGGAGCTGGAAAATATTCTCCATTACGAAACTCTGTGGATAAATGTGGAATTATCTACGTTGCAGGATTATTACCTGCATGGTGATAGATTGGGAACAGTGGAGATGCAATGAGATCTGGATGTCCTTCTAGAGAAGTCACTGAAAGCAAGCATGCAGGTGCAGCAGGCAGTGAAGAAGGCAAATAGTATGCTGGCCTTCATAATGAGAGGATTCGAGGATAGGAGCAGGGATGACTTGCTGCGATTGTATATGATATCGATGAGACCACACCTAGAATATTACGTGTAGTTTTGATCTTTTTTTTTTAGATTTAGGTTTTACTGTCAAGTACAGGGTAGCAAGCGTACAGTGAAAAGTGTACAAAGTCCCCATGCATGGCATCATCTTATGTACAAAATCTTGGTTACAGAAATAGAGAAATAAAAAAATGTTAAGAAGTTCAGCGCTACAGTCATCTTAGCACAAAAGTAGAAAAATAAAGCTAAAATGTCAAACATTATAGTCCTTTTTTGAGCCATGGGCCTGCAGATGCTCCAAACTGGACTTCCCCAAGAGGGCTTGCTGTCGCCCGTGCTGGACACGCTTTCACCCATGCTGGGCTAAGACTCTCGCAGCCACGCTAGGCTTCGCCGCCGCTCATAAGTCTTTGGCCTCAACTGTCATATCACTACTGACTGCCACTGCCGCCATCCCTCATGGCCCCTCACGGCTGACTGCCATTGCTGCCATCCTTTGCCACTGGCCACCAACCGCCGCTGCTGTCACCTGGGCATGCGCTCGGCCCCAGTGCTGCCATGGTCTGTTGCTGCCGCTGTCCCCAAGGCTCCAGGTTTATGAATGTTCAAGGTCTGTACTGGGCCTTCTCTCCTCCTCGCAGGGACCACTCAAGATCTGTGCTAGGCTCGCTCGAGGTCTGTGTGGTCCATCACCGATGCCATCGAGCTCAAGAGGTAAGTAAGGAAAATAGAAGTTAGAAGAAAACAAAAGAGAAAAAGAGAGAAAAAAAAGAAAAGCAGTCAGAGTGGACAAGGTCCGGCACAGGAGCCCTACTCCTCCGCCATCTTGGAAAGACCTTTAGCTGAGGAAGGATTTTCTGGCTATGGAGGGAGTGTAAAAAGGTTTACCTGACTGATTCCTGGAATGGCAAGTTTGATGTATGAAGACACTCTGGATTGATTAGGACTATATTAATTGGAGTTTAGAAGACTGACAGTGAGATCTCATTGGAACCCTATACAATTCTAACCGAACTAGACAGAGTAAATGCAGGAAGAAGTTCCAGATGACCGGAAATCCAGGACCAGGAGTCACAATTTATAGATATAGAATAGGCCATTGAAGACTGAGGTGAGGAGAACTTTCTTTATCCTGTGAGTAGTGCACCTTTGGAAGTCTTTGCTATAAAAGAAACAGTTGAGGCCAAAACATTAAATGCTTTCAAAAAGGAGTTATGTACATTCTTAGGGCTCAAAGGATCAAGGGGTATGGGGAGAAAGCAGGAACACAATGCTGAGTTGGTTGATCAGCCATTATTATGCATGAAAGTCTACTAGAAATTTCGAAAATTAGATTTTTGTTTAAAACACGGGGAAACTTGACTTGATACTATCTCAGAGTGAATAAAGCAGTCGAAAATCAGCATTGCCTAGAAATGAGTGTATTGGGCATAATGGAGCACTGTTCTGAGGTATACAAAACAAGTCAGTCCAGTATGCATCATCCACAAGTTTTACTTTCTTTTCCTCCTGGAATGCCAAACCCTGACATCTTAAAGGGAGTGAAATTTTATTTTTAGTTTTACTTTGTTTTGGGCATTTCTGTGATGTTCTTGGGTGGAAATAGAGCAGTGCTTCTGAGGCAGGGAGGATATCGTAAGAATAGGTTACTTTAGAGTTAACAGTTAGTGATTGCCAGAAGAGTTAGGATAAAATCCTGCAGAGGTTACTTGAAGTTGAGTGTGCTTATATTCAAATGTGTAATAGCTCCATGAAGAGGCTATCAGTCTTCACAGCTAGAAGTTAAAGCCACAATTATCTTAAGGCTATTGAGATGTTATTTCTCTGGGAAGTCTACTGTACAAAAAATAAGCAAGAGGTTCTTTTGGGTGCTCTACAAGGGATTTTTATTAGAATTTGCAATTGAATGTTTGGGGAGTAATGGGATTATACTTTTACTGTGTCTTTAAAAATCATTGAGTTTGTGCTACGAGTAAATAGTACAATTTATTGTATCCTATCTTCATTTCTTTTACTTAATAAATTTCTGTTTTATTGTTAAAACAATATCTACAACATTCAGTGACAAATCATCTCATTAAAACCAAAATAAAATATGATCTATCAAGCCAAGTTTCAGTCTGGGATCTGGATTTTCCAGTAATATTAGTAGCTGGGTTCATAATAATGCATCATGTTGTCTAATATCTGATTATAATTGATAACTCAATGTATTAGACAATACTCTTGCTGTAAAAGTTTCCATTTTTAATCTGGTCCATTGTTCACATTTAAATACATCCACTGTCTCATATCTCACGTTTTATTGAATATGAACATTCTCCAGCACCCATTTCCTCTGTGAGAATTAGTTTACATTGTTTTTCTTTTCCATTTCTGACCTCCTTTAGGCGAAAGATAGAATCAATCCGGTCATGGATCTCCCACTAACACACAAATGACATGATTTTTGAACAGGAGTTTCTGATGTTACTGTGTCCAAGGAGCATTTGTTTCAAGACTTCTTACCCCAAGTAAATTTACTCATCACTAGCAAGCGACAGTCAATGTGGAGGTGCAAGAAGCTGTTAGCTTCTTAGCAACCGTATCCATTTACACTTGGACGAGTGACAGAGAAAGATAACAGTGAAAAACAGAAAAAAAAGGTGTAAAGAAACAAACTCCATGGATCATTTTCAGAAAATCAAGGTCTGAATTGTCAGAAAGATGAATGTTACCATTCTTAAATAGTGAAAAGCAGTGAGACAATTCTAAGACGCTGGGTGTTTTCTATAGAGCTTACCATCAAGCACTTTCCCTGGAAAAGTACCAATAACTACAAAAGGTTGGAGCTGTTTCTCAAACAATGGATAACTGTTCATATAGTGTTCTCCCTTAAACTATGAAAATTCAGAATTGTCATCTGTACAAATTATAAACAAGCATTATATCTGGATGGTAAACAATTTTTTCCAATAAACTTGAGTCCTTTTCACTTTCATTTAAAAAAACTCACAACATACTCCACAGGATTATTTTTAAATCTGCTAAATATCCTTTAACTGCTCAACAATTCTGCAAACATACAGAAACTTTAATAAGAACGTAGCAAAACCAGCAAAAATTCCTAATTTAAAAAAAAATTTGCAAATCTACAAGAAATGTAAATAAGTGGTTGGCCAAACTCTCTGCTTTCATTATTCTTATAGCGATGAACAGCTTCTTGAATATCAAGCTTTGACATCTTTTCACTCTATCTCAAAATTGCCCCAACAATTATTTTGGTCCAGCTGGTGTTATTTAAAGTTACGGCTGACATTCAACAGCCAGTCTGCCTATTTTGTGATGGAGGAATGAATGAAACCTAACAATAAATGTATTTTGTTAGAGGGGTTTATATGTTTGAATATATTTTTGTTTTAATAACATATTGCTGTGCAGAGAATGAGTACAATGAAGATTGGAATTGTTTTTTGAGCAATACAATTGGCAATTAAACTTTTAAAATGTGGGAATAAATGAATCAATAGTAAATTAATCCAATTTGTCAATTTTTATCCATTGTTCTGCTTTTAAGGATGCAGAAGTAATGGTGAAATTCGCCTCATGTTAACAGTTCTTAAATGTCACTTTATCAATATGTATTGAGCAGCTTTGATACTAGCAAAGCCAATAGAAGCTGGTCAGAAAGCTGTTGGCAGACAATGCAAATATTTGGTATGAATCCTTTGCTTTTGCATGTTTATAGGGAAATATTATAAAATAATTGAAATAAATATTAATAAAAGATTATTAACAATGCAGCGACTTATTACATGTTACCCTGTTACCTGATGCGATAAAGAAATGCCTGCTTAGGTTCTCCATCATTTGAGTTCAGTACTATCTTCCAAGAGAAATGGAAAGAAAGCATTCTGTAATTAAGTGCAAATTCATCACTCCCTTTGCAAGTTCTTTCTCTGACCATGTAGATTTTTGATTTGAATGAGGGAAATTTGGTGCAATTTCAGTATCATATACAAATGGCCTCTTGGAAATGTTGTCAATGGTTATGAATATCCTGCATTACGATAACATTTGTTCACACTATGAGATCTAAACCTTTGTCTCCTTTTCCATTTGATTTTTTTTTGAAATCACAGCATAATATTTTAATAATCACACTTCAATTGTCAGTCAAAAGGCTATTAGTAGAAACAGTGTCTGTGTAGAAACTAAATCTACTTGCAGCGAATGCTATAGAGTCATAATGTTCAATTCCTTGGTATTGACTTGTGAATTGCATCCCTGGCTGATTCATAACTATTACAAATGGAAAAGTACATGGATATTGACTGTAGACTTGGCTTCAACCATGGTATAGAAAACATTTAGTGTATTTATGATGAGGCATAAAGTAGCATCATGTAAATACTGATTTTAAAATTGCCTAAAGTCTGAATTAAGTTTCTGTAATGGTGTTGAGGAATAGCAAAACATAAAATATATATTCTTTGTCACTTTTTTCTCTCTCTCTCTCTCTCTTCCTCCTTCTCTCTCTTCCTCCCGCTCTTAATATAGCAAAACTGAAATGAAACAGATTGAAAAGAAAAAGCAGAGAGTGAAGAAATGGATGTTCACTGCACTAGTTAGATTTCAAATTAAGCTGGACCAAAAAACCTTTGTTTTATCTCCAGTGAAACTCAAATTAAATCATATTTAAAATACAGTAAAAGTAAGTTCAATTTATATAATTCATATTTATTCACCCATGTAAATAAGTCAAAAGGACACTTGACAGTTTTC